TGTAATTAGTTCTTGAAAGTTTTGTGGGTGTTAAAGGAGAGAGTGTGTGTGAAATTATTTAGTTCCGTGCTCAGCATAAAGCAAGATCTCATACTACATGGAATTGGTGAGGAGTGTGGAAGTTAATGCCATTGTCAACCCAAGGAGCTCTAGAATCATCTTGGAGACAAGTGTCCATCTGGGTGTGCTTTGGGGGTGGGGGTTACCTAGGTCATTTGAGACAGGAAAACCTACCCATTATGAATAGTGGGGTCCAGAATCTGTGTACGCCTTGGTCTTTGCCTCCTGACCGTAGATACAACGTGACCTGCTGTCTCAAGCTCCTCCTGTTCTCATTTGAACTAAGAGAGCAAAGGAAGCCTTCCTTCCATCGGTGGCTTTGGCTAGGTATTTTGTCACAGCAACATGACAAGTAGCTATCAGAGCACTGATCAGATTTATCTTTGTATTCCTTTGTTCCTGGTGCCGCTTTTTTATTTTGTCATGTCTTAAGTGTATCTCTCTGCTCCACCAAATATCCTGACACCCCGTCACTGCATAAATCAATTATGTATTGCCTACACAGAACACTTTAATATCAGCTCCCTATCAATCTTTCCCAATGAAAAAGAGCCAGTTATTTCAAGTGAATTTGGGGCCATTGTTCTCTGGCACACCCTCTGTCATCAATTAGGGAAGATATTTCAAATGGCCGGGTAGAGCATCAATTTCGCTGTGACTATTTATCGTTTGGGGAGGAGGAACAGAAATGGTAGCCTTTTGAACTTGTTGGATGAAGTCTCAAAGACGGGGCCTGAATCTGTGTGCACAGCAAAATGGCACTGTGATGGACATGATGGGAGTTGGAGCCCGATTCCCACCACAGACGGTGTGTGGTGAAGCTTTCAGGACGACTGCAGTGGGAGAAGACCGAGAACCTGGAGCACGGATGGCAAATCAGCCCTGGACATCTGCTGCCTCTCCTCGTCCAAGGCTATGTGTTTTCTAATGGATGATGTCACTCTCTTCCCACTGGAAGCAAGTGCACACCAGAATCCTTCTCCACATGGCATTTCAACAGCCATAATCCGTCTATCAGACATTGCACGGAATTGCTTTGTCTGGCTTCAGGTCTAGCTATAACAGAGTTTTTATAACAAAATCTTACTTGTCTGAAGACAGATATATTAGCAAACTGAATTAGTCTCTTTGCTTAAGGTCATGGAGGATCCAGTCGTGCAGTTAATCAGAGTTTGATTTACATGGGGGATCTTGGAAAACCCATGTGCATACACATTTACACGTGTGCAAGACCATAGGAGCTTAATAAATGACATATTGCTGCCTTTGCGTGTACCTTTTTGCTTTGTGACCAATCAGAAATATGGCTTCCTGTCCATTTGCTGAGGACTTCGTACTCATTCACAAAGAAGCTGGGGAACCCATTGGGAATGAGGAGTTTCTGACATCCGTATCCTGGGAACCAAGCTAGAACATGTCACCTGGTTAGCTGCTTGCCCACCCTAAGGTTTTTTTGTAAGGAAACAGAGTCCACAAAGGGAGCCAGCTAAGTTCCAGCTTTCCCCCCTGTACTTTGGAACCTGCTTGTATCTACACAGATGGTCTCTGTCAGTTGGAATAATCAGGGGCAAATGTAGCCTAAGCCGACAAAAGTAGCAAACGACCTAACAAATAGAGAACAGACCACTGTTTGGGTTGGGGCAGATCTAGGGACTCAGAAATTTTCCAAGTAGTGGCAGGTACCAGCATGCAGAATGAAAGAAACAACCAAAGCAAAATGGAGGAATTCAGAGGAGTGGGGAGCTACCGAGAGTCCCACGATGTTATGATGCAGAGTCACAGTACACAAAGCAACCCCAGGGCTTCCATCGTGTTGTGACTCTTCTTGCCTTGTCAGTATTTGTGGATGTTAAAAAGTTCTGTTGTTTGCACTTCGTGAAATGAATTCACACCGAACAAAATTCCCAGAAGGTCGTGTAAAGAATGATTTCACAGCAACTATCCTATCAGGCTCCTGGAAAATTGCACTTGAACCTTAGTTCCACCTCAGTCACTCAAAGGAATTTTTTAAAAAAAAAGAAATTGGCTCCCAGCCATCCTTGTTCTTCAACATTCGGTTTCAGACATGCCTCAGTAGCACACACTTTAAAGCCTTCCTGCTAAGTGGACATCAGCACTGATGTCACAGGACCTGGGCAGGACCCAACTGCAGTCAGAAGCCTTGAAGAAGGGTGGAGGGTAACGTCGCTACAAACATCAAAACAAAATAACAATGAAAACTTTGAACTCTGACCCATGATAGTTGCTATGTGTGGCTGTTCAAAGATGTGCCCTGCTCCTATCTGGAAAAAGCCCTGGGATTGGGGAGAGGCACCTTGAAGTATCTCTCTTGTACAAATTTCCTATATTATTATAGTTATTATTTTCATTCCCATATTACCATGCTATTTGGGCAAGCATCATGTATAGGTGCAGGGTGGATTTGAGGAAGACAAGCCTAAGTTTAAGCCCTGCCCTTGACATCTTGCTGACGGTTGAACTTCTCTTCTTTGTTTCCGTTTCCTCATCTATAAAATGAAAATATTCTATTGTCACACGTGATGGGGATACGTGGTCATCCCCACCTAACGAGGTTGTTTTGGAGACTAAGAGAGATGGTGCAAGCAAACAAACCAATGCAGCAAAGGGAGAGAGAGAGACCATGCAATAATCAATAATAGTTCCAATGGTGGTAGCTATAGTTTTATTGTTTGAAGAGAGAATTATTGACTACATGCTCACATTGATTCTGATAAAACTCCATGGCACCCAGTCCAAAGCAACTGAAAAAAAAATGCCATCTCTTATATTATTCCCTAACACCTGCGAATGTATTGCATGCTTCAAATCAAACTCCATTTGCCCACGGACTTCTCAGGGATGGTTTGTCATCATTTCAATTATGTTACTGATCAAGAAACGTATGATTTAGGCTTTAGGACTGAAGAGATGCCTCGGTGGCTGGGAGCAGCTCTTCCAGAGAACCCAAGTTTGGTTCCCAGCACCTACATTGGTCAGCTCGTATCCACCCTCATCTGGCTTCCATGGGAACGCGCACATACATGTAGGAACATACTTAGAGACATAGAAATTTAAAACCTAAAAGCCATTTAAACTTTAAAAGTATCTTAATCTCGTCAGCTTTGGGTCGCTTTTGGTCCCTCCAAAGGGCGTCATTTCTGTCCCTGCAAAGGGTGGCGTGCTAACGGTGGCATAAGTCCTCATTGCTACGGTTCATCGTGTTCTCTCCCGCCAGAGAGCATTTTCTTCAGAGACATACTTAAGCTTCCGTTCTTTCAGGGATCTTTCTTTTCTTGTCTGCCCTGACCGCTACCAAGCATCCCCTTCCTCCGCCCCTGTCGTATCCTATGCTGGCGCACTCCACTGCCCTGCTTTTTATCACCTGAGCCCTGCTGGTTCCTCACCCCTCAGAGGAGGTCTCGATGGCGGGGGATCCTTAGGCTTCAGCAACACACATGCCCTTGTTGAACCCAAATCATCCATCTAGGTCACCATGTAGTATATTTCATATAAATTCAGAAAATGCAGTTGTGAAAGTAGCGGCAAGCGTTGGTATCTACCTGAATGTTTGAAAATACCTCTGTGTACGCAGTTCTTCAGGAAAGCGCAATTCTTCAGGCATAGACACTTTCCAGGATTGAACTGTTTGTCTGAATCTCATTTGTTTTCCAAACATCCTACCCTCCCCTTCCCACCCCAGCTTCATGGGCTGCTCTTCCTTGCTCATTTCCGTTAGTTTGCTTATGAACAAACCAGCCGGTCACCAATTCTGATGACCCTAAATACAAGGATACAGTTGGTGATGAACACATAATAGTTGTCATTGCTCAGAAGCCGATGTCAGGAGGCCGATGCCATGGAGAAAGAGGATCCACTAGTCGTCCGTGTGAAAGGGACCTCCTCTACCCAAGGGCAATTCCACGTTACTGGCATGACTGCTGTTCCTTCTGGCACGGAGCAGCCATGCTTTGCCGCATGGGAATCTGCCATGACGTTCAAATAAACCATGTGATACAATGACTGACCGACTCACTGGCATGAAAACAGGGGCCCTCTCCACCTGTTTTCACATTCTGCTCTAAGCTAAAGGATTTGGTCTTACTGTAGCCACCTTATTTCTTCACTGAGGATACAAGTCTGAGCGACAGATAATAACGTCTATGAGGACATGTAAATGGGCAGAGAGGCTAGAAAAAGTAGCTCCTGTTTCAAGTAGGCAAACACAGAGAACTTTACTGGAGAGAAGCCGAAGTCTGGAGAATATTGGCCAGGAGGTAGAAGCAGTGGGGGTAGGGAGGAGGATCCACTAAGTTGGGAATGCAAATCTATGTAAAGGTGGGGTGACTTGACATGTTCAAGCAAGAGAAATAAGAATTCTCAATTGAGTGGAGAGTAAAGAGCCAGGTGGAGAGGAGGAAGGGTGCCCTCTGGGTAAAGGAAGTAGGCGAACAGCTACCATCCAGAGAAGGCAGAGCATGCGTAGCATTGTAAGGAGTTCAGATTTCTTTCCCCATACAATGGAAAGTTGTTAGAGGGTGCGAAGATAGGGCCTGATTTCTACCTATGAAATGCCATCTTAACTTCTGTGGGAAAGAGATGGAATAGTGCCAAAGTTGATGGGCAATTTCGCAAGAACAGTTATTGGGAGACCAGCAAGGAGATGGTTTAGGGAGAGATGAGGAAGGCTTAGATAGAAAGAACTAGACTTTTCTAGACTGATTTTGTTCAAATGGATGCCCTTCTCTGAATTATATTAATAAAGGATCAAGTATCATATGTATTTGGGATGTTGAAGAAAACATCAAAACCATTGTAAAGCTCATCTGGAGCGCCTCATTAACAGATATATTATATATTGTGAGCTGGTTTCAATGTGACTTTCTTAGGATGCTCTCATGACACTCATTGCTGACCTTTGACCCCTCTGTCCTCTTTCCCAGGTCGTCCCATTCCACCTACATCCTCGTCTAGCCTCCTCCCATCTGCTCAGCTGCCTAGCTCCCATAATCCTCCACCAGTTAGCTGCCAGATGCCATTGCTAGACAGCAACACCTCCCATCAGATCATGGACACCAACCCTGATGAGGAATTCTCCCCCAATTCATACCTGCTCAGAGCATGCTCAGGGCCCCAGCAAGCCGCCAGCAGTGGTAAGGAAACTCTGTGGTGTCTGAATGTGTGCTGTGTTGTGCCTGACCTTCATGAGTCTCCCACAAAGGGACAACTATTGACACAAAGAAGGGGCGAAGGTGCTGTGGGAGGCATCAAGGTGAAAAGCATTCGTCATTTTCGTGGTGTGGCCGTTCTAAGATGCATCTGTTGAAGGTCACAGCTGTTGGGGAGGTTTTTTACTGATTCAAACAGTCTCTGAGCCTCCTTTTGTGGGAGGATTTTGCCCATGGCTACTTGTGAGAGCGTGCTGGGCTCAAAGGTGAAGTGTGGGGAGACATGGGAATATTGAATTTTGTATTACTCTGATTCTGGTCACAGCCAAGTGACCCTGGACACCCTCACACGCCCTATTCATGTGCCTCTTAGTTCCCTTGCTTTTTTTTATCAGTAGCTTCTGACTTCCCCTTCCTTGCTTGTTTTATATAGTTTTGCGATTAAAATGTGCTCCCTTGACATGATTACGAAATATCGTGCGAAGACTGAAGTGTTTGGGGTACGACCTCTCTATGACCCTCTGCTGGTGCCCTTCCCTTGAATTTAACGAGCTGATCACGAGGCACTGGGATAAACACAGCTTCTAAATTCAGAGGACTTGTTTGGGTTTTCATGTTCACGGGACAGCAGGAAGGAACACGAGGTTCCACTCTACTTTTGAGGATTTTGTGTCTCAACTCCTCCCACTCTCTACGTCTTAGATAGAATTGGCCCAAGTACAACAATAGCCAGGCCTTATTTTGGATTTATCCCTTGGTAGAATGTACACCTGAACAAATGAATATAGAGGAGGGCCCAGGATTTACCTAAGGATTCAATACCCATGACCTGGAGGGGAGGTTGTGGCACAAATGAACTACTCTTGACCCAAAGCTTTGGCACTGCCTTCTGAGACAGCCCCTTGTGATGTTCATCAACCCACTCATTAAGAACAAGAGAGAGGGGCTGGAGAGATGGCTCAGTGGTTAAGAGCATTGCCTGCTCTTCCAAAGGTCCTGAGTTCAATCCCCGACAACCACATGGTGCCTCACAACCATCTGTAATGAAGTCTGGTGCCCTCTTGTGGCCTGCAGACATACACACAGACAGAATATTGTATACATAATAAATAAATTTTAAAAAAAAATTTAAAAAAAGAGCAAGAGAGAGAGAGATTTGCATGTCAACAATACTCTCCGAAAAGACTGCTTTGGCTCTATCCATGAATATAAGCTACCAATGGTCCCAACCTCTCAAATTATAGAGGACCTCCTAAATATATTAGGATGATTCATTCAGAAAATGGACTGATAGACTGCTACTTATGATAGCCCATGCCCTTCTTCAAAGCCAGGCCTGATATATTTAGCAAACTCATATTCTTTTTTTTTTTAAAAAAAATTATCTAATCAAATCTCTCATCAAATGAGCAATCCATTGTTGATATTATGAAGGCCTTTAATCTACCATAAATCTTTATTAGAACTCATCAGAGCTTCTAGTTTGAGAGAAATGTGATTATGGCACTCTTAAAATGACATTACATCATCGGGGTGATTGGTTTATCATTTGGAGAAGAGACATCAATCATAACTAACATAACCACACAGTAAATGAATTCAACCTTTCTACCGTGGAACAATGACACCGTAATTGCTCAAAATCAGGCTTAAAATGAAATCGGAAAATGCTCTTTCTTCAAATATGATGTTAACTTAATGGAATATATTATGAAAAATCATGTTTGAGGAAATTCTATATAATTAAAAATATGTGGAAATATATTCCCTTTTTTTCTTTCATCAGAACTTGATTTTAGCAACAGCACTCTTTTTCTCTTATCTTTTTTCTTTCTTTTTTTTCTGCAGCAGAGATTATGTTGCATTTAATTGAACTACCCTCGCTTCTGTTTTGCTACTTTTTATTTCATACTATGTAATCGTGATGAATATTGTATTATGAAGGACAAGAGGCTTTTGAAATGAGGTGCACCTGCTGATCGCTTTTGAAAAACAGACAATTATTAAAGAGAAAGTGAGCTTTTAAAAACAACATCCTTTTTATGCATGTATGGATGCCCAAGCAAAGATGATTTCCATAAGCGAGGTCAGTTCTTATCGCTGGGCCATTCAGAATGTTTTCTTAGTGATAGCACACAGGGTGATCTCTTTCCTTTTTGGACGGCTGTATCAGATTGTAGGTTGTCAATACAGGTTTTTCTGTTGGCTTTGTATAAAAATCAAGGGCTCATCATCTTGGTGAACGGAACAGATCTGTATGTTTAGAGCCAAAATTATTCATTTTTCATCAGTTCCACCAATTTGTTCAGCTCACTTAAAAAAAACTGATAGTGGTTTTAGCTCCACCAATAGGAAAAAACTGCCATGGCAAATGTGAAGGTCCAAACAAGAGCCCGTGCTCATACGACTTCTCCAGCAGAGCGGAGACAACCTGATTGGATAGTAGCCTTGTTCCCAACAGACTCTTATCAGAGGGTGTGCGAAGGCTAAAGCAAGCAGGTCGTCACTCAGCGTCCCCACTCCTGCCTGGCTAAATGAGAACTTGCCCGGCTCGTGTATGTGCGGACCACTCTTGTGTGTGCGTGTATTTCTAGTGGAATGGATTTGGGGTCCAAGGCAAATTGGGGCTTCTATCAAGATCTGAATGCAGTTGCCATGAATTTAAATTTGACATAAAGGATTGAAAATGGAGTTTGACACCAAAGATGCAGACTGCAGAGGGGTGCTGGGGTATCTTCAATTGAGTTCGATGAAAACGGCTGAATGTGTCAGGCGTCGTCACAGCCCCGGCACAGGGCCCCTGTGTTTGGGTGTGTTAAGTTTAGCTGGATAATTACACAGAGTATTTTTAAGTTGGTCCCTTGGCATTGACACTGGAATCTTAAGATCAGGGAGCAGGTCAGACTTTGTTGGGGATCCCCCGCCCCGCTTCGTTAAAATACCTTCCAGCATATTCTGCCCATCCGCAGCAGGAAAACATTATTTTTTTGCCCTTCTCTTATTATTTTAATGATTTGATGTCGTCAAAGCCTGTCCTTAGGACAGTACAGCACACATTTATTGCCCAACAGGCCTCTGTTTCGAAGAGATGACCTGGATATAAAACCCAGGAACGAAAATGTTTTTTCCCAACACTAAAGTTCCTCAAAGCAACAACCATCTCACCTTTTTGTGTCGCTGGTCATTATTTTCTGTGACTATGGTGCCTTCTTTAGCACATGGCACTAAACTCTCATCACCTTTCCAGCCAAGTTGCTCTAACCTTCCACCTGTGCCAACCCAGAGATACACAGGTGTCGTTGGAGAGATGTTTCCAGAACTGATATTTTGCTTCCCTGAAACATTTGCTTCCCTACAGCTGAGCTCAGGCCAGAAGCTCACCCTCTCTTTTGACCTTCTGCCAGAGTGGATTAGTGCCTATGCTGTTTCTTGTATATGCAGCAGTATACTTTAAATCCTATGATATCACTCATGTGGAAAAACATCTGGATGCCAGCAGCAGCAGAATGGAGGGTCTTACATCTGGGGGGGAAAAAGGGAGGCTTCCTTTAAATCATCATATCAGATTTGCACTGTTATCAACGCAGGAATAAAATATATAGGCAGTCACATGAGTCCAAAAGATCTGGCTCACCTCTCTTCCATAGAGAGAGTTGAGTTTTGGTTCTTTGTGTAGACTTGGAACAGTCATCGGTAACACCATGCTGAATATTAGAAATGAAAGCAAGAGGCCCTGACAGGAACCTTCCAAAAAGTCCTCATCAGCAGAGAGAAGCCATCCAAAGATGGAGGGAGGGGTCCACATTTGCAGGGGAACAAATGGGATATGCCCCAGGTCTTTTGTAAAACAGCAAGAGCTTGGGTTACTCTACTCTACGTGGCAACAGCAAGCTCCAGTCTGCAAACTTTTGGTTTGCAGATGGTGACCTATGGATGGCCTTGCCTGCCTCATTTATGGCTTCCTTATCCAGGTGTATGGAAGGCATGTTGATGTCTGTTTGCACGCAAGTCAGGGCCAGAGATCAGGTTCAGGTGTCATTTCCCAGGTGCCGTCTGCGTTGTATTTTTTGAGACAGGATCTCTCTCACTGGCCTGGGGCTCACTAAATAGACTGGGCTGGCTGCACGTGAGCCCCAGGGAGATGCCTGTTTCCATTGTCACAGTGTTTGAATTAAAGGCAGGCAGACAACTGTGACTGGATTTTCACATGTGTTTTGGGCTCAGGTCCTTGGCTTGCAAAGTCAGTGTCACACAGACTGAGCTATCCTCCACCATGGTCTTACCTAGCTATCTTAATGATTGTCCTGTTTAGCTGGAATCAAAAAGAAAAAAAAGTTCTGTTTCTTCTTCTTCTTCTTCTTCTTCTTCTTCTTCTTCTTCTTCTTCTTCTTCTTCTTCTTCTTCTTCTTCTTCTTCTTCTTCTCTCTTTCTATCTCTGTGTGTATATTCCTATACTTTCTTCTTTTTTGTTCTTTCTTTCCTTCCTTCTTTCTCTCCCCCTCCTCCCTCCCTCTCTCTCTTTCTCTCTCTCTCTCTCTCTCTCTCTCTCTCTCTCTTTCTCTCTCTCATTCTTTCTCTTGATCCTCCCTCAAAACAGTTATTTCTAAAACCTCTGAAACTATAATTAGATGGTGCAAGAATGTACAGAAAAGTCTTGGGGGAGAGCATTATATTTGTTCATATATAAATCTGTATTTCTTTATTTAATAGATATAGAAAAAAGTCCGAGTTTCCTGGAAGCCAAGGCAAAAAGAGAAACATAAATAGACTGCAAAGGTGCATAATATATAAGAGAGACAAGCAAAGAAGCTGCTTAAGGAAACACTACAATTTTCACTATGAAGCCAGAGAGAACAGTTTCCCTTAGGGAAGGTCATTTGGACGTCACACAGATAACTGAATGAGTTTAAGCAATACCTGTAAAACATATGCAATTTTCCCCCCAAACTGGCTGTAAATTTGCTCTAGATAAGCTGACTGCTCTT